AAATCAGACTATAAGGCAAAAAGAAAGTGCAGCTTTATGGTTTCATGGACAAAAGAATTTCTGTGGCTGCAATATGACAAGCTAAATAACCAGGGCTGCACAAAAGTGGTGCGCATTCGCTGTCAAAATAAAAAACGCGCACAAGATAAGAAGTTGCAATGCGTGTTTGCGTACATAAGATTTTCAGGAGGAGGACAGACATTTGTTTAGAATTCTGAAAGATGTCGAAGAAGCTCCTTTAAGCAATTACGTTGGTGTTCCTCCACCTCCAAAGAAATGTCAGGAGTCCGAACCACAAAAGAAGCACGTATTCTCGGAAAAGTAGTTGCAGGAGGTGAGCTGGCTTCAAACAAATGATGAACGCACAGAGATGTGGTGCAGAATGTGCCGTGAAAATTTAGTAAATGACAAATTAAAAAGGCATGAACATTGTTTTTTTTTGTATCGAAAAAATATCGAACCCCAAAGTATCGAACCGAACCGTGAATTTTCTGTATCGTTGCACCCCTAATATCTATCTCACCAAATACCTAGAGTTACTCTGTATCAGATCTCAACTGGTAAAAGCATGATGAGTGCTCCCTCTATTAAGTGTGTCCAATACTAGCTTTGAATTAAAAAGTAGGGTTGGATTTAAAAAAAAAAAAAAAAAAAAAAAGATTTTCCCTTTTCAAAATAATTTAAGTTTGAATAATGTGATATCTATTCACTGAATCAATTTTTAAATATAAATGTATTTTTTCAGAAATGCCAGAATCTCAGGTTAAAGCTCACAAAATTATTTCAACAACTGACAAACAGTTAAAACAACAAATGAGGGCAGGTAAAACTTAACTCAACCAGAAGCAAAAGAAGATCCAAACGACGTTTCATGTTTGAAAAACATCATCATGAATTCTCTCTTACTTTTGCTGTTTTGCTTCCACCATGATAAAATCACACTTACTGCACAGCTCTCTCTCCTTGTGTACTTTAAGATCAGTTTCCCATCAAAAATCTGTTTTCTCCATTTTTTTGCTGGCTTATTACGCACTTGTCTACTGTTGTGTACAGTGCTGCTGGCCGCTGTCTTTTGTTTTTCAAAAATTACCTCCAACAAGAGAGCCTAATTTCTGTTCTTCAATACTGACGAAATGTAAACTTTTACAAATGATGCCAAATCGTAAAACACGTACCAGTATTTTTAATAAAACCTCTGTAACTTTGCTCTGCTTCAATTCAGCAGCATCAGGTAATGTTAATCTGCTGATTCATGGTTTTCTTCCGTTTTTGATCTACTGCAGAATATTTTTAAGGAGGTTATCTGCTATGAAGTGCCAGGCCAGGAAAATCTCCTTCATATTTTTGTGTTTTATCCTCTGTTACTTTAACACAAATCAAAGCATCAAAGCATCTGCTTTGATGCTTACACCTCTGATGAAATCTCATAAGTGTCAGTTTTGTTTTTATACAGAGATATAAAAGTATGGATATGTACTGATAAATGATCAGAATTATAATATTTCTGACTGTGTCAAAATTGAATTGAATCAAATCAGAACCTTGCGAATCAGAATCAAATCAGTTATAGAAATTGAAATCGATATCCAACCCTACTTAAAAAGCTGTATTTGTCACTTTGGGGACAACACCAGGAACCATTCTTATCTATAAGGGAACATCCGGTTCAGGTTAAACATTGCTTCTGTAATTTTGTGAAATAAAATCTGCCCAGTAAATGTTTTTAGTATTTGATTCTTAATCCTAAGCCTCTTTTAATTTATTGCTGTATTTATAATAAATGGCATATCAGTTTATCTGATGTGTTTGAGAGGCCAAACAGGGAAAGCATTGATTTCATTGGAACTTTTAACTCACTTGGTTAGGAATAGTTTTACTTCCTACAAACACAAGGTCTTGTCATGTCAAGCTTGAAATATCTATAAAGCTGCGGTTGCTTGCATGTTTCCATTGTGTTGTTTTAGCTACCTAGCTGTCCTCCTAGAACATCAACACGCTGCTGCTGTAAACAACGCAGACTTAAACTGAATGATCTTTAGCAATAGCCTAAAAATTGCCAAACTGTAGTTTGGCAATAGATCAGCTTGTTGTCGCAGATATGCAATCAAAAACTATTCCAGGCTTTTGAGTGAGGATCAGACCGATGTCCCAGTCAAATAGTTACATCTCTAGTTGGGATTTTACACATCCCTGCTGACTGACTTTTTGTTCCTGCAGCAAACCCCACAACAACTACCACAACAACTACCACTACAACCACTACGACCATTACCACTACTAACCCTTCTACCCCAAAGAAACCAACAGGTACAGTTCAATTTAAAGCTCGTAAAGTTCTCAAAATCCAGCTTTCCTCCCTTTTAGCTAGGTTGGGTATTTAATTTCTGCAAAGAGCGCATGAAGTTCTGGGACTACTATTGCCAAACCCTGCTTTATGCCTTATAAGTTGCCACAGCAGATCGTAATACAAACCATTTTACCTTTGCTTCTCTTGCTTTGTCTCCAAACCATTGAACCTAATCTGTTTCTCCTACATGCTTTATTAAAATCCTGTTCCCCTGGTCACGCAAGAAACCTCTTTGTGTGTGTGTGTGTGTGTGTGTGTGTGTGTGTGTGTGTGTGTGGTT